CTATAAGTATTGTTGTTTAAAAACAATCACAACAATCAAACAAATCAAATTATCACAATTTCTTGTGTTGTCAATAATACTCAATAAATAATATATAATACACCATAATTCATACCATTTTTAGTTTCTACTTTAATCTGATCCTTCTGATTGGTCCGCCAACTAAAACAATAAACTTATTAATAATAGATACCCCCTTGAAATTTATTATTTAAAATGTATAATTTGTTTTGAAAAAAAGAGAGAGAGAGAGAGAGAAAGAGAAATGAAAAAGATATTCACATAATAAATTAAACTTACTATAATTTTATTAATAAAAGAAACAAAATTATTTTTTAGAATTAAGAGATTTAAGAAAATAAAAGCACCTAAATAATGTATATCTAAGAATTTAACTATAATTAAAATTGTAAACTTAAAAAAAATTTGTTTATTCCCTAGATTTTCACTCCGGCTGTACAATTGAATAAATGCTAAATAAATGGAAATGACAAATTAATCTAACCAGAAAAAGGTAATGCAAATCAATTTGTATGTAAACGGTTATTCTATTGAATTGAATGCCATATTTATATATATTTAATTGAAATAAAATAAAATGAGTTATTAAAATAAATTTATATATATTGAAAAAGAAGAGAAATGAAAACAATATTCACATAATAAATTGAATTTATTATAATTTTATTAAGAAAAGAAACTAAATTATTTATTATTGTGTTTAAAAACAATCACAAACTAGAAAGAAAAAGAAAGCTGTGAAAGAAGAATAACGAACTACAAAAAGAAGATTTTAACAAATAAATGGGGCTATATTATGTTATGTTATGTTATGATGGTTGTTTGAATAAGTAACTTTAATTACCAACGGGTGTTGGGGTTGGGAAACTCAAGTGCATGAATGTTATATTTACAGTTACTCTATTGATTTGAATGTCATATTTATATACATTTAATTCAAATAAAGTGCGTCAATGAGTAATGGTAAATGATCTCTGCTCTGTCAACAACCTACTTGTTAGATCTCTTAAACAGGTTTCTAACCTAAAATAGAATGAAGTTATAACAATAAAGTTAATGTATAGGCACCTATTTTACTGCCTCTAGGAATTACAACAAGAAGTGGCTATTATAAGACATAAGAAACCTAGAAAGTCAAAACAACCCTTACCCTTGTTCAAATGTTCCAGAATTGAATTTCGATAATTGGGATCTATGTCATATTCATCTCTCATACAATTTGTATCATGAAAATTATGTAAGAAGTATAAAGATCTTCAAAAACGTGAAAAATAAATAGATAAATTACCTCCTCTGTAAATTTGAAGGGACTCAATAAAGTCAAAGGTATCTTGGCTGGATGATATTGATTTCCCTATACCACAATGCAGCAATATCAACACAAAGAAAACAAATGGAACAAAGATACTGCCTATTGAAAAAACAAATTAAGGTTGTTTTTCCCCAATGCAGCAATATACCACAATGCAGCAATAGAAACATTTATTTCTAAGAGAAGCACATGCTTTGGGTTTGATTCTCTATCAATCAATGATGTTGACACATAAAGAACATGGTTGTGTACTTCCTTTTGAAATCAAACTCCACTTCCAATTTAGTGATACTATCCAAAACATCATATAGTATTAAAAAATCATGATTTTGTAGTTATTTTCAAAAGATAAATGATTCATCTATGAGGAAATGAACAAAATAATTAGAAGGATTAATGAGAAAGCAAAGTACCCTGCATACAATTCAGCAGCAACGAAATTGAAATTAGAATACAATTCATGTTTGATAGTTATTGGAGGAAATTTTTAAGAGAGATACACATACCTTCTATGAATAAGTAAGATGTGAGCCAATCCTTCTTGCATTAAACAACAGCAAAGATCAGCACTGGCAGCAAGATCTAAAATTCAAAATACAAAGAGCAGAGATACAGTCAGAGATGAAAAATCCTTTAGTAATACGAATCGACATATGTTTTGCCAATCAAATGAATAATTAGGGAAAAAAGAAACAATTTAACTCGGCGAATTTCTTGGATAAAAACACAGTTACAGTATATACGCAAGGTGACACTGGCAAAAACCAACAAATGATTTCTTCAAAAGAGCAATCATCCAGGTCTGCTTGGAAAATCAACATAAAAGATAGATAACTAATTTGTAATGCCTATAGTCTGAATTTTGTAAATGTAAATGTAAGATTGCATTATGTAAATGTAAGCAATAAACAAATAAGTATATCATGAATGAAAAGAAGTTAAGCAAATGTAAGAATGCGCTTAATTTGGAGTAATAGCAAAGATCTCTGCTCTGTCAACAACCTATTGTTAGGTCTCTCAATGGTTCTGACCCAAAAAGAATGAAGTATAGCAATAAGTAAAGTACAGGCACAAATTACACTGCCTCTAGGAATTACAACAAATAGCTATTACAAGACATGAGAAAACCTAGAAATCAAAACAACCCTACCACTATCTAAATGTTCCAGAATTGAATTCGAAATTTGGATCTATGTCATATTCATCTCTCATACAATTTGTATCATGAAATTAAGCAAACAAATAAAACCCTGTAAATTTAAGGGGCTCACACAAAGTCAAAGGTATCTTGGCTGGACGATAGTGATTTCCCTGTACCACAATGCATCAATATCAACATAAGAAAACAAATGGAAAAGTACTGCCTATTGGAAAAACAAATTATAAGTTGTTTTCCCCATAAAACATTTAATTCTAGAGAAACATATGCTTTGGCTTTGATTCTCTATCAATCAATCATGTTGACACATAAAGAAAATGGTTGTGTACTTCCTTCTGAAATCAACTCCACTTCCAATTTAGTGATACTATCCAAAATCATATGTATTAAAAATCATGATTTTGTAGTATTTTCAGATAAATAATATTGTAAAGATAATAATAATTCATCTATGAGGAAATGAACAAAATAATTAGAAGGATTAAGAGAAAGAGAGTACCCTACATACAATTCAGCAGCAGGAACTTGAAATTAGAATACAATTATGTTTGATAGTTATTGGAGGAAATTTTTAAGAACGAGTACACATGCCTTCTATGGTAAGTAAGATGTGAGCCAATCCTTTTGCATTAAACAACAGCAAAGATCAGCACTGACAGCGATCTGAAATTCAAAATACAAAGAGCAGAGATACAGTCAGAGATGAAAAATCCTTTGGTAATACGAATCACAAATGTTTGCCAATCAAAGAATCAATTGGGAAAAAAGAAACAATTAACTGTTCGAATTTCTTGGATAAAACACAATTACAAATATACGCAAGGTGACACTGGCAAAAACCAACAAAGGATTTCTTCAAAAGACCAATCTCTAGGTCTGCTTGGAATCAACATAAAAGATAGATAACTAATTTGTAATGCCTATAGTCTGAATTTGTAAATGTAAATGAAGATTGCATTATGTCAATGTAGAAATAAACAAATAGATATGCATGAATGAAAAGAGTTAAGCAAATGTAAGAATTAGAGCAATAATTTAAGGATAGTAAATGGCCAAGGTAATACCTCTGCTTCAACCTCATGAGAATAAGCATGCATCTGGCTACACAACAGAAACTAATTAAATGGGGTCTTGCTCAGGGATTGCAACCCAGAAGGATGAACTAATTGGCTTATCAATCCGATGGTACATATAAATAATTCAAGTAGTTGGAAATCACCTCATTGCCAGGTTGTAACTGTCATTTGTTTGCGAGCAAACCAATCAGGTCCAGTAGTACTTGTTTTATGCTTCTTTGAACTATTTGTCAACAAACACACCACATGTAAGAAACCATTCCTCACAAGCATCATCAAAAATGTTGCATGAAAACCATTCCTCAAAAGCATTTCTACAACATGTTCAATGAAATGCCTTAAACAAACCCAAAGTATAAAACACAAAAATACACAATTTAGCATATAATCAGCACAACTAAATTTTTCTTTACTGTTACTGAGTTGGTTCGTTGTCTGGGATTCACCAGACACCTCTGTTTTGTTGACTTCGTCCTCCAAAGAATTTTCAGCTTTGCAGTGATTTATCGATCTCGACAATCCGCTGAGCATCAGTTTCTAAATTTCTAGATTTTTTCAGCGGCTTCATTTTCTCCTACAACCAGCAAGTTTTGGGTTTCCAAATTGAGATCAGAATACAATACAATTTGTATTATCATAATACTATGAGGGTATCAAAGCAATCACAATTCACAAACTCTCTATAAAAGCTGAGTGGTGTGTATTTTACATATGCTGTAGAGATTTTTGAGACTCTATGGGACCCTTCTTCTCTACTGCTTCCTCACAGAGCATTAACAAGTTCGGTTGTCATAAACATGTATATAATTTAACATATGAAGATGACTTTGCTAACTCTAGAGGGATTAATCTTAAAAATATGATTCATACCATTTTTACTATCTACTTTAATTCATCCTCTTGTTGAATAACCTTTCAATTCAAATTTGTTTAATTTTGTATTTATAAGTATTGACTTTAATTTATTGATTTATTATTTAAAAATGTTTAATAATTTATTAATTTTAAAAATGTCTATTTCTTCAACTACGTTAGATATAATCTCTTTAAATTAGTAATTTTATCAAAATTAGATACTCATTTCTTTTAAGCAACATTTAACCCATTGATTTATAATTGAGGTAAGGTAAAAATCTCATGCACCAATCTATATAAGTAAATTTAATTACATCATGAATAAAATCTTGTATATTAATTTTTTTTAAGCAAACCTCGACGGTATGAGGAAAATTTTATAATTGAAAAAAAAATGACACCTAGACAGAGGGGAATAATAGGTTACCTCTAAAATAAGACTAAATACAATAAAAGGAAAAAAAAAAAAAAAAAAAAAAAAAGATTGTGCATGAAACAAAGAATAAATATAAAGCTTTTACACACACCGTTAATGTTATAATATAGTATATACAAAAAATCTATGAATGATAAAATTCTTGCATTGACATCCAAATCTTTCAAAACAAGTAGTTAAGTCATCCTTCTTCTGCTTCATCATCATCTTCTTCTTCCTCTAGGAGCATTGGTTATGAATAAACTTGTAAAAGATGAAATATACAATAATGTATATCCAACAAACTCTTATAAAGCAATCAGCAATCATCAACACCTTAAGAGATCTAATTAAAACTCAATTATGGATTGTTATAGTTATAAAAAATCATTGCTTCTAATACTCCACATATCAGACAATTGAAATAAGTACTGCAGCTTCACTAGGAATGTCTTCCAGAAAAACACATGCACAACAGAAACAGAAACTTGTACTGATCACAGACCATTGTGTGCATGAATGCCCTACCAACCTTGACGGCATCAAAGACAAGAACAACATTGAGCATCAAATAGACGAAGTTTGGAAGAAACCTTCAATTCAAGGAAGAATCATTCCTCCCTTCTCTCTTTAGTATTGAACCCCAAAACCTACTCTACTCCTAAACAAAAAAATCAACAATATTCTGCCCCGATCTACACTCAAGTTGGTATAAAAATGCCAACTAAACTTAATTTGTAATAGTTCATGTAGCTTGAAAACCTCTCATAATCAACAAGCCATAATCCTGCATAACCTAAAAATCCACAAATATATAAGGTTTACAAATCCTAATCCAGTTATCCTCTTCGGTCCCCTTATCGCTATATGATATCACACCTTCAAGAAAGAAACTAGCATATAGCAGAATTTACACTACTGCATTGTGTTTTCAAGTTTATTCTCTAGCGATGTGTACTGACTAGAACTCCAAAGACGGAAGTAACTAGAGCTACGAACAAATTGCAAGTAAACAAAAAAGCAGACTTACATTTACAAGATAACTCTCATCTTTCCCAAAACAACAACAGGAAGCAACGCAAGTCTGAATGCCAAGTCGAAGTAGCAATAATTACCCACCAGAAAAGTCCTTATACACCAACTAATTAAAACAAAACATCTAAGAGTGAATTTCATTCACCATGAAAGAGAAGATATAAAAGAATTAAAAGAAGAATTAACATTTCAAAGAAGTTCCTATCTATACAATGTTTACATTTAAAGCGCTTTGTGACAATTATCCACTTCATGAAACACATTTACACACAAAATAAGCTAGAGAGAGCAAGCTTTACCAAGGGAAGCCAGAGAGACTATGATAAGCTTCTAGCACCGAAACAGAGTTTGAACAGGAAGAATCGACTCTTCACCACTGCCAATCACTCCGTCACAGAAGTTAACAATCTCCGCGGGATCGGCACGGAGTCAGTGAGCGTGTCGTCGTGCTACTAAAAACCGGGAGGCGTGGAAGAAAACGAGAAATCGCCGGCGAGTGCCAAGTAGGACTACTGACGGTTCTGGTGGTGGTAGTGTCGCGTGGAGAAGGATAGAACGGCGGCGCGTGAGTGTGAGAGCGAGTGAAGCGACGGTGGATAGTAAAAGCCTGGAAGTGCCATTAGAGCCTGACCCGGTTTGTTTTCACCCAAAAGTAAAAATAAAAAAATAGTTAGGAAAAGGAGAAATGTGGGGTGTAATAAAAAAAAAATTCTAAATAAAAATACTCCTGTTATCTCTAGGTTTTTGAATTTACTTTACACTTTTTTAATAAAAACTTTCACTCTAAATTACTATTTATAATATCAATATTGTACAAATACGGAAACTATTTTGAAAAATATAATGTACTTGAGGGAACAATAGAAAATTAGTTAGGTGAATGAATAAGTCCTAAAAAGTACCCTAAAATTCAAATAAGGTATAAATTAATTTTTTATGTGGAAGTATTTTACTGGTAATTAAATAGGAGCTTGTTTTGTAAAGAAGAGAAAATAAAAATAAAAAACAGTAAGCCAACAAAGTGAATATATACAAATCATATGAATAATGTATACTATTTTAAGCCTGAACATGTGGATTACAATCAAGGTTATATGTTTACATTTAAAAATAAAATCCTGAAAAATACAATCATGTAATTGACAAAAGCAGTTATAAATGCCCTTAATATCAATTTTGACTTTGAATTGAATTGTTCCAATATCTCTTAGAATGTATAGCTGAAATTTAGATGAACAAAACTGCAAGACAAAATAGCTGCCACTACACAACATCCATCTATCCAAGAAAAAATTACATGGGACAGTCTCACATATCATAAATTCGATTAATAATAAAAGAAGGAAACCTATTAGAGAAAAAACTCAAATCACTTTAACTATTTTGAATGTTACTCAAGATATCTGGTTCGTATTTTGAATGTTTCACAGACATCCCTATTTCACAAAGCATCAGCAACTATATATATAGTAGACCATTGAAGAAATTACATATATATATATTTACATGTTTCTTTTATTTACACTCCAATCTCTCTCACAGCAAGCACATCATCTTTCTTTGTCAGACTCAAGAGTAACCAAGGTAGGAAGGACATGAGCATAAGCAACTTTTGCATCAATATATATATATATGGTACCTGAATGAAGTCAAATAGTTTCAAAATTTTATATTAGTGGTAACTAGCAATGACATATGACCATAGTGTAAAGTCATTGAATTTAAAAAGTTCAGTTGTTCGTTTTGTACATAACAACGTCGGCAGTATGAATTTCAATAGATATTCTGATGAATTTCAATAAATTAAGCCATAGCAATAGATTTCATAACAACTGTTGCAACATACTAGGGTAGAATCAATCACAACAGAAGTTGATTCTAAAAGAGTTTATATATCTTCCTTGATTTGCTATGTTTAACTCTTTCTTGAATTTAGGACAGTAGAAACACTTGAGACTTGGACTGTGAAACTGATATGCTAGAATCTCAAATGTAGAATAACCTAAAATAGTGGTATCAACCATAGGTGTAGACAAAATTACCTTAATTCTGAGTAACAGCAAATGATCTCTGCTCTGTCAGTTAAGTGGAGAGTATAAAAATGTTATCTATCTGTTTTTTGAATAAGTAATAGAAAATTTATTCTATCATTTTTTTAATTTTAGTTTTTCTCTTTTTACAATAAAAACTTTCACTCTAAATTATTGTAATAATAGAAATTGAATATATATACAAAGCAAGGAACCAATCAGCAAGTAAATTATCACATTTCTTATTTTGATCATAATACCGAATAAATAATAAGATGATAACTATGATCATACCTTTTTCACTCTATGAACCCCCCTTATAAATTTATTATTTGGGAAATGTCTACTAATTTCAAATATAGAATATGAAAAATTATCATACATTTAATATAATGAGATTTATTATTTAAATGTATAATGTTTGTTTTTTTTAAAGAAAATAAACAATATTCACATAATAAATTGAGCTTATTATGTGAATATTAACAGCTGCAGTATCATAATTTTAATTACTAAAATATCCTTAAAATTTAATGAAAAGTTGAATCAGGTTGAAATCGCGATAGGAAAGTTGGGGAAAGGAGCCGTGGGCGTCATATAATATAACAACTTATAATATTAATTTAAGTAGATTGTTTTATTTATAATTTTTTCAACTAAACTAATGTTTAATGAAAATTTATGCAAATCAAATTTATCAGAGAGGCATATTCATTTATATAAAGAATAACTTTCGTTACCTGATCTTGGCTTTCTATGTTAAAATAATCATTAGATTTATAATACCATTTTCTGTTAAATTGACATGATGATACATAACAGATTCATATAAAAGTGGTATTGGTTGGAACTCTGGCAACTAGCCAGGCATAATGTTGAAAAGTTTATTCATTCATGCTCAACTCTTAAACACTTACTCTTTGTTAGCCATCCTTTCTCAACTGGCAACCATTCCAAACCTCATCCTTCCTTTGTAATCTAACCACAATCACTTTGTATTAATATATACTGTTCTCTACTTGAATTGAGTCATATTTATATACATTTAAATTCAAATAAAGTGCATCAATGAAGATCATCAATGCAAAATAGTAAAACTTTACAATATTAATTACACATGGTATGTAGCTCTTTCATCATTAACTACATACTTTTCTCTGAAATACTCTGAACGGTGGCATTCAGGTTTGCCTTTCCAAGTTCTCCATCCCATGTTCGCACTTTTGTTAAGCGTGGTGTCACTTGCTCTCCATAACCAAGGTCTTTATTTTTCCACACCACTTATCTCTACCTCTCCAATGCTGTGGTATTAAACATCAATAGATATAATCTAGAGCTAAACACAGTGAGACTAGTTTGATAACAAAGGTGCAAGTTGTACAAACTGAGGAACACACCTATTCTTTCTATTAATGACTTCTTTTCTCCTCTCATTTGTGACTATGTTCTCTATTGTTGAGCATATCCTTATTGTAAGATTTTGAGCTCAACCAGGCATCTGTACAATGGAAGGGTGTTAGGAGGATTTTTTTAATTAGGACACCACAATTATTGTTATAAAGTTAGGTTTTCCCCAAACTTTGGGGAGGTTTATGGTGTGGTCTGGAGGTTGGGTTGGATAGTGTCCAATGACAATCATTCACAACAGTTGGAATTAAAATAGATAACGCAATTCCCTCTAAATTGTAGAAAATCTGAGTTTGGGTGGCCATTCCAATGTATTTAGGAGATACTTTAGCTCATCACATGATGAATATTAGATACTTCAATTCATTGAACCCTCTTCAACTAGTTATGACTAATACTCTCTAATTAGCAATTTTCTCTAAACTAGATACTCGTTCTTTTGAGCAAACCGTTCTTCCCATCTAGGTATTTTTTGGAAATAGTTAGTTTTTGAGACATGCATATTTCTTGAGTATCTACTCTCTCCCAATAATCCTCTAGATACACTACACCTATTACTTAATTTAAATTTGGTCAGTTATTTTGAATACTCACCAATTTTGGTGGAGGTCAGGTTTTGAATAAAAGCTCTAAGGATCATCGGACAAGGCTTTCTAATTCACAAGATGGTATTCGCTTTATCAATTCTCACTTTCTTGATCCCATTGTTAAACTATTAAGTACAACTCCTTACTTTGTAAAGAGGGTAAACCCATGAGGTTTAGCGTT